ACTGTCTGACGCGTCTGCCTCCGCGACCCGAAAGGAGAAGCGGCGATGGAAGATGAAGATGAAGATAATGGTAGGGGATCTGAGCGAATTAGGTTGGCAGAAATTCAGTGACAATTCTTCTGTTAAACGATTCTCGATTTTTTTATTCGCATTTAGACACGGCTTATTCAGTTGTCCAGTTGACTCCCAAAAGAGCATTAGCGAACTTTACTGTTGTTGCGGAATTTTGCTACGGAGGGTGCGGTTACCGCTCACAACTTGCCAGACAGCTAGGAAACATGAAATCCGCCCTGTAAGCGATTAACGCTACAAAAGTAAAGTATTTTGTTGATCTTGAAAAGTTTCCCCTTTGACTAGCGAAGGTAAATTGAATGGTATGCCGCACGGCCTAAAGTACAAACACAACGTGTCGCCGGTGGCAGAAGGTCACCTCCCGGGGAAACTGATGCTTATCCAGCAAGATGGGTGATCTTGGTGCCCAGGTAACATCAAACTACGTTCTGCCGTTGTCTGTACGCTTGTGCTTCACGGTAAGCCGTGCGGTCACTACTGTGGAAGCGATGACGGATAGATTTCTAGTGTATAGTGTAAAAGTCAAACAGCCGACGCAAAATTTCAATATCTCCTATATCCCGACAAAGGTGTTGAGTGACTACGATAAAGCTGACTGTCTGCAACCAGATATTGACACTTTGTCTCATCAGGACGCAACGGTTGTCATCAGCAACTTTAACATAAATACGGCTGCTGAGTGCAGCACAAGGCCATGGGTACTCGACTGTCGCGGTATTAACAGCGAGAATGACGACAGGCGTCCTTTAACAACAAACAGGCTGACGGTTGTTGATACATCAATCTTTCATTTACGAACTCACTGAACTATCTCGACATCCACCAATGGAAGCAGAAACACCTGAGCGAAACATGTCCTCATTCGCAGCAAATGGGGCAGCTCGTCACAAAAGGCGACTCACGTCGCGCGTGCGTCTCCGCTACACTGCGTCTAATCACCAAATATCGTAGCAGAACCGTCTAAATGAGATGTCGCATTGTTCTCGTTAAAACACACTAGCTTCTCAATTTTGATAAGTCAAAATATGAAAGGGCATGATGATTTGACAAAATGAGTTACTTATTTTACGACCAACCGTAGTGTCTAGTTAGGCAGAGACTCTGTCGTTGCCACTTGCAGACTTTAACGGCGTCATTTCGCCGAAGAAAATCCTAACTTGGATCAGATGCGGACAGCCAAACTGTCCTGAACTACAGAGAAAGCCGTGGAACAAAGCGAAGGAGCACCTGTAGCACCCCACTGTATCCTCGAAGACAACCTGCCAGTATCTTCTTTATATAGTCAGCCAAAGCTAATATCGGGAAAGGGAAGATTGACTCCGAAAGGAAATTCAAAGGTTCGACAAGACCAAGAGCAACAGCCACCAAAGAGCTGTTAAACAGAGTAAAAAACCCGGTAAGTAGCCGATCCCATATCATTTAATAAAGTAATAACGTTGTTAAAGCTATGCGGCAGATTTTTGACAACGCAAAAGCGTTGGTTTTCTAGTATCGTTTGCTAAGCTCTCGTGTTGCTACATGCTTCCTTACAGAAAAACAGTATCTGCAACGCTGAAATTATAATACATAGATTATATTCAAACATAGAACAGGCCATGTTTTGCTGACCTCATCGTCCATCGACTGATCGTTAAAAACATCATCCAACGCCGACGCCGGCTTCATAACCAAATCAGTTCAAACTGTTCGATGCTTAAAAAATTCCGGCTGAAAAACAAGGAAAAAGGCGAAAGGTCACATTTGTTTCCATTCAAGACAACAGAGGGCGGTGCAAGACCAAGATCCGAAAATTTCAAGTCAAAACGAGTAATCTTCAGATGAATGAACGATTTTAATATACAGGCACATAACGTTAACGAGGTTAAACCTTAAAAACCCGAACCGAAGCTAAAGATAAGCAATCAAAGAATAGACAAGTGTAAGCAATCATAATCATCAACCCACAGCATGGATCGTTCAAAGTGTCGACCATTCTTGTTTGATAGCAAAGCGATTTCTCGTTTCGTTCATTGCACGAAGTCTTGTCACAAATAAACACCGCGTTAAGATGCCAAGTAGCAACAACTCTTGAAGTCAAAGAATCAACAGCAAAAAACTGGTCAAACATGCAGGCCACAATAGAACAGTTATCACAGTAAAACAGGGTATTACTACATTAGTATCTGTGGCGCGCAAGTCCATGTCTCCATACAGCGAGAACAAATATAAAACGACCAGTAAGGCAATCGAGAGAAAACTATAAATTTACTTTACATCGAGAGAGGGAAATCATAATTTGCAATAGGAATATTGCGAATATACAATCAAACAGTGCGTAGGTACAACTGGTCGCGAAACAAGCTTCTATGATTCAATGTTCTCGTAGGTTGTGCGGCGCGTTCGAACCCGTCCGATCAGGTAAGCGATTAGTACGACCACTACCAAGATCGCCAGTGCTGCACCGATGACGATTGGTACTATATCGCTGGTCATCGTATCGGCCAGGCATACATCAGCTAAAACAACAAAAAGTAGTGAACAGTAGGTATTAAAAAAGGAAGGAAACAATGCACGTACGGTAGTCAAATTCGGCCTTCGTCATGAACGCCTGCACTCTCAGATGACTGAGTGCCAAACTGCAGTCGCTGGTCACTTTATACGAATATTCGGCATTGCACTCATAAGAACGGTCTTTCTTAATGTGAAGATTCCAGGTGTGTGGATCACTTGGACCACTGACAGTGATGAGGCGGTTCACTAAATGAAGCAATCGATTAAAACTGTTCATAAGTGAGGAAATCTATAATCACTACCTAAATCCGAAGTGATATTGGGAAAGTTCTTTTCGCTGGTAAAATACTTAATCACAACTTCGTTCATGAATACGTCACTGCTGACCGACGAGTTGCGGTTGAATGACAACAGCAAAGACCAGTTGCCAAAGAATGAAAAAATTATGGAATCATAATCTTCAGTACAATTACCGCTGACGATCGCGCTCGTCGGAACCGCTACCTTCGTCTCCAGTTCATTATTCTAAAGTACTTATTAGTCACGAGTACCACGTCAGTGAATACCTTGGATGCAGCAGTTTTTAACTCATCCCGAAAATAACAATGTACCTGCATTCCATTACAGTTATTTTCAAAGTTCACTTTTAAAGATTGAAGCGCCAAATGAAAACAGACGTTGATTCAGGTAAAAGGAATTCTGCTGATCATGCACCGAATTGGATTCATTGCAATGGACAAAATTAGCGCATGAAAACTGGTCAACAGCATAAGTTACATCAGCTGTGACAACGAAAGTTATCTTCTAGCTAAGACCAAGAAAAAAGGACCCGCAAAATGTTTACATTTTTCCTCTCCTCAGTGATTCTACATTGCAACTGATGCGGTTTAATAACTTACAACAACGAACGTAGAACCAACAAATAGCGCGGTGTGTGCAATGAGCACCAGATCAGTCTGTATATCAGCAGGCGGTTTAAGGATGATTAATCCAACTAGCAAACAGGATTCTCATCGAGGAGAATAACTCTAATGCGTCATGATATGCTGAAAGGGGTGCGGAAACTACCGCACTCAAAGTATTATATCTAGCGTCCAAGAATGACAACACAGACGTAAATTCTGCACAGTTTTATAATTTATTGCTATCAGGCTGTTCCGCTTCACTCCTCTAAGAAAAAAAATAACTGTACCTCGGTGTATACGAAAGATACAGTAAAATATAGTTCGTTTGACGCACATATGTAGGTACCACTAGCCGATAATGGTGAACGTGTAACAGCATTGCATTATGCGCTTGATGAAACTAAAGAAAAGGTAGAAAGTCGATAACTATTTGGACTTGAGTCCTTTTTAAGTTTCCATGCCCAAGAGCAAACAGTACAGGACTCAATTCCAAAGCCATCAGCCAAGAATGTCGCATTTATGAAATAAACATTCGCTATGGTTTGCTGCTTTCTTCCCACGGCATTTTACTCGTTCTCGTACACTGGAAGGCTGAAATGCGATTGAAATTCAAACCGGAAATATTTCGAAGTCTAATCAAGCGCTCCATCGATTCAGCTGCAAAATGCAAAAGAATGGTACTACAACTGGCACCCATTATGACGGTGCAAGACTGATTTTCAAACGTTAGGAACTTTCCTTATTTCTAATGTACATCAAACAACGTATGCAATATGAAAGTAAATTTTAAAAAATTGATATCTAGAAACCTGTCCGACTTTCGTTTGTTGTTAGCGCGTTACTTTAACGCTCGCTCATTCTGCAGCTCAGCGTTCACAGTAGAGACACTGAAGGAGAAGTAAAGTGTGTGATAGCCAACCGGTAGTGAGCTACTTCGCAATTGCAACAAAATGACTGTTAGTACCTCAGAGGTGTTGTATTTGAAAACGAGTTTAATTTCGGCGTCAAGTTTGATACACGATGTGTTCCAATGACCAACGTGGCCTTCGGGACCTGCAGTAGAAGTAGGAACAGCGGTTGTCAGCGTCGACGGTTCAGCGGTAGTTGTGTCATTCTGTGCAAAGCTATCTTCATGACAGATTCCAAACAGCAGAACAACTAAAATCATGTTCGTTGTACAAGGCACAAATATATATAATATGAACATATTACAAACATATCACACTTTTTATGGAATTAGGAATATTATACCTCATATTAAGTATGAACAACATATAGTATTGCATACGGGGAACGTTATACCTATGAATCAGATTAAGCCCTACTGAGCAAAATTTAACTTAAAGTTGAGAGTTGGCCATTCATGGCTGATGCGCCACTGCAGTTAAAATCAGTTTCCGTTTAAACATCTGCTGGTCTCGGTGAACACATTTAATTTTCTTTAGCTGGAAATTTTCGCAATAAACTTTGCTACTAATGTCGCACTTTCGGTCACAAAATTATATCAAACCGCAAACAACAAACGCCACTGATAGTCCGAGACAGACAGATACGCATCAGCCCGATGCTGGTAATGAAACGCGTCAACTATTAGTAAAACCTTTGCACCTTCGCTTTACGTTTGGATTTCCTAACTAAGCATTAGAAAACATCCCGCATGTAATATCTGTTCTCGTTATTTCTATCTTACTGATTTGTACTGCTGCGATTTCGGTTGATTTTTTTGATGCCACTGCGATACATCTTTAAACATGGTGCAGATAATACACTCTGAAGTCATGTGATAGTGTTTAAGAGATAAAAACAAGCTCAAACATTAACATCTTTTAAGCCCTTTATCTTTATCGATGTATTGGGTAGCTTTCAGCGTCTAATCTTCCTATACTATACTTATCACAATCAGTAACATTCAGACTTCGCTAGCGCAAAGCTACTGATTAGCCCCCGTCACGTACTTGAAGCGCGATTGGAAAATAAACAAAGTACATGTACAGAAGCCGACTGAGCTAACGATGTGTTGGCTGCTTAAACACCAGCCTAAAAACAAGTGCAGAACCAAAATGAGGTTCGATGATCGCAGTACGGTAGCACTCGGACAGGATGGCTACGGAAGAACGGTGGCAGAACGATCGATGCGGTGGTATACAATTAACGAAAACAAACCCAAGGATTTTTTTCAAAATGAAAATTTAAGGTTGAAAAAACTTTATATATATGGTGTTTTGCCGTATACGCTATCTAATGCCCTGCATATGTTACAAGTCCGTTTCATTCTTAAAGATCGCTCAAATGCCCAACGAGCAATTTTGAGCAATACTGAAGCAGCGACGAAAAATCACATCAGTGACAGAAACCAGTTTTGGACGAGTTTTAAGGCAGCCTCAAAAGCAGACGTTTCTCGTTGCAACTCTGCCATCGCGGTCAAAAATTCCGTTAGTTCCGCTACTTACAGCTCCGAAAGGTAGCAGCGC